CCTGTGCCACCGTTCCTTGCAAACAACAAGATCAAATAAAAACAGCGCCCCAAGTCCTGTGCGGAGCACACTAAGTGTCCCAAAATGTGCAAAATATGAGTAAAAATGATTACATATAATCAACATTGATTTGAGGTCTGTCAAGCTTAGATTTAAACACACAAAAACCTTCTTTCTGCTACTAATATTAATCTATGTTCAGGCTGAACCATTAAGCATTCAAAAATCAGGAAAGTCAGCCCTCTTCCCCAGATCTCAGACTCCAATGGTAGGCATAGAGCTAAGCCAGAAGAGTAACTGCAACCCCTTACGTGTGTGCAGTCTTTGAGTGGAGCCTCGGACAGCTGCAGCCTTAATGTATTTGTTAAGGAAATTATGTAGTTGAAAGGGCTGGGGAGGAACCAGGACCAGGCAGTGCCTCTCAGCATCAGTCCCATCCAGAATGGGCTGCTCCTGGGCTCTGTAGGTCCGTGAAGGTTCTCGTCTATTCTCAAAGTTTTTCCTTGGCTCTCCCAAGGGCCTATTTTCCCCGCTGCTGGTTATTAATGTTAAGAGATCCTAGGTCTTGTTCAGTATAATCTTTCCATCTTCTCCTTGGTTGTCTTTGAGATCAAACACCATTGGAACTAGCTAAATCTCTCCTTTGGGGGCCAGTCTGTGATGTGGTATTGTAACTCTAAGTCCCGCTTGCTGTATGTCACTGTATTTACTTTACCTGGCTCTTCACAGGCATCCCACAATTCCCTCTTTCTTTTTTCCACACAGTTTGTTCCTTCCTGGCCCAAAATTTCATCTCAGTTCTTTATTTTTAAAGGCATTTACTTATGTCGTATTCCTTTGTACTAAGGGTCCATGTTTCACATTCATTTAAAGCAGTAAGTCTTACAATGGGTTTTTTTTTGGTATATCTGATCCTTGTTCTTTTTCTGTAGTTGTCTGGAGCTAAAAATTCTCTGCATAAAAGGATAAAATATCATTTCTTCCCTATACCTTACTTTCTTCCCTTAACAGATTATCATTAGTAATTAATGACCTGAACTATTAATGACCTTAGCTTTTAATTCCCTAATTTGCTTATATTGATGTAATTTACTGCTGGATGGGCTTGTCCAAAATGTTTTCACTGCCTTATTTTATTATCTTTCTTGTTCTTATGTTCTGTTTTCCTTGCTGCTTCAAATATCCAGCCATCCTTTGCTACTATATCTCCTCTCTCTCCAGTGACAGCTAAATCAGCTCATCACATCTTATCACACAAAAGGCTGGTGCAAGCCATTTAGAGGGCGAGAATTTTGTCCTGAGCATGCCACTTTTTGATGGCCTTAATCCTGAATTGATGTTAGATGGGGCAGAACTATAACTCGCGTACTTTACTTTTTAAATCTCATACAAAAGTGTGAACCATCCTAATCATTTTATCAAGAACCCTGATTTTTTTTTATGGTAACTTAAGAGTTGAAGTGGGGCATGGGGGAATCAGTTAAGGACGAGGAGAAGATAGAGGTCTGGCTTCCATATTCAAAACCAGACCAAACCGTCTAACCCAAGAATTGCCTTTGTCAGCACTGCTGTCTGTCTCACCAACTTACTGTTAGGAAGTCTGGTAGGCTGGGTCCTCCCTTGTACTCTTAGAGACGTCAGATTGGACTCCACCAGTGTGTATTCACCATGGCCCTTGAATGTGAAGTTCAGCCCATCGAATGTGAGGAAGTGTGGGTCCCCAAAGGCAGATGCTGCATCATATACACGAGTTAAGCAGTTAAATAAACCCCAGGAAATCAGGAATAGTGATGTGCTCTGGGTTTATGAGGCACAGCCATTGCTGTGAGGCCACACAGACTGGGGCCCAGGACAGGTTCTAAAGAGTATAGTGCCCTTCACCCTGCCCCTCCACCCAGTACCCCAGCTGCAGACCGTTTTGGTTTCTTATTTAAGCAGAAGTAGTCTAGTCCCATTACAGCCTACCATCCAGAGAAAAATTAGTCAGTGTTATGCACAAGCCGTTCATGACCCTTTAGGAAAACCAGCCTGTTCAGGCTCTGGGAATGCCCAGGACCACATTCATGGATGCCCCCCTGCCATAGGCAGCACTCTTTCAGGGCACTCACAGGTGGCAAAAAGCACTGGGAACTGTCTGGCAAACTCTGCCTTGTTCCTAAAGGCTCACACGGAAACCCAGAGTCCAGGATCCCTGGGAGCAGAGTCGAAGTGCAGCCCTTGCCATTGCCAAAGAAGCCTTGTGGCAATCTGTTGGTGGGCGCTGGTGCTGGGGCCCTGCTGGCCAGTTCTGACCGGCACGTTGGGCTCCAGACTCTGACAGTGCTGCTGAGACCAGATGGGTAAATCCCCTCTCATGAAGCTCGTTCTCTGAGGCAGAGGGTCGGTGAAAGTCCTTACCAGCTCGAGGGGGGCGGTAAGTCCTGCAGTCGCTGGAGGGCCGGCGCTTCATGTACAAGTGGCAGTTGCCAGACCACAGGCAGCAGTAATAGAAGCTGATGACATCGTAAAGCCAATGGGAAAGCCCAGGAATCCTGGGAGGCCTTTTGAAAGGTGGAGAACCCCAGTCATGGCCTCGATCAGGTGTGCTGCCCCCTGTGGAGTCCCCTGTGAGGACTTGGGTACCCGTGGAGTCATAGCAGCACTGCTGCCCAGATGCGTACTGGGGGCTGCAGGAAGAAATAGGATTCAGCATTTCACTCTGTAAGAAATGTTTGAGTCTGGAGCTCAGAAGGACTCTCTAGTTCAGGAAGAGACAGAAAGGGATGTTTCTATTGAGCTCATCTGCACTGAAAAGTTGAACTGGATTAAAAAGAACTGATTTTAAATTGATCTAATTAAATAGATGAAAACAGCAGCTTACAGAATTAAGCTAAATTGATACAGGCAAGGCTGAAATAATTAAATTGTGCCTGCATTAGGGGTTTATACTAGTTTAATTGTAGTTAATATTTTTTAAATGTATTTAAACTGGTGCAGTTATCTGGTGTAGACAAGGCTGTAATGACTTGCTCTCAGCATAGAGGAACTACCAACGAATAGGAGGAGAGCAGAGGCTACTGCTGCAAAAGAGTTCAGGATCCAGGCAAAAAATATTCTATATGCCTGGAACATAAATAAGACCTAAATTGCACTTAAGCAAGCACTGGGTAAGTAACTTAATGACACACAGAACTTCATGTTTGGGATGGCAAGGGGAGAAGAGCTGTCTTGCTTGGTGTTTAACTGCTGCTAGCAGTAAAAAGTACACAATGCATGTCCAGGAAAGAAGCCTGAGAATTTTCCAACATGATTATAACAGCTTAATGGCAACTCACATTTAGGGTCTCATACAGCTGAGCACTGTTCTATCAAATACTAGTTAAGAGAGAATGAGGTCTCTACCTGGCCTGAATTCCTCTTACACAGTGCACAGCTCCAGGATGGTAAGTGCATTTGCTTCCCTTTTCAATGTCACACCCGTAGTCCGTCTGAAAGAGAAAAATGTTTGTACTTCTGAAGCATCTTGTTTTATGTGTTTTCTGTTTTCTTTCTTTTTTTGCTTTGTTTTATTTTGTTTAATGGCATACAGATACGCTGGATGCTGGTCATAACTCCGTAGTTCAAATTAACTACCAAAGGCCTTTTATAAATTTTTTTTGACACCATCTGATGAAGTGAACTTGGGTTCACAAAAGCTTGTGTTTTCACTCTTTCTATATATATCTTAGTTGGTCTGTGGAGGTGCATATCTACCCTGCCTTCTTATTTGACTCCTGTGCTAGTTTTTCACTGGAACAAAGATTAACATGGGTTTTGGTCAGATTTTTTTGTGATAAATTTAGGCTACAAGGAGAGATTCCTACTAGAGTTTCAACTATGTAAAATAAACAGTTTTTAGAGCATCAAACAATATCCCATAATTTTCAACCACGTCTTCCGTATAAGTAGAACACTCTACAAAGCCACAGGCTTAAAAGTCCATTTTGCTTCTTTAAGATTTACAGAAGAGACGTAAGTTGTTTTTTCTTAAAAAAACAAAAACTGTATGTGCATTTTCATGGAGCATTTGGCTTGTGTCTTACATTAGAAATTTAAATTTTGTCTGCTATGGAAAACTGAAAGAAATAGAAGCATAGTTTAAATTCAGAAGTTGTGTAAAAGCAGTTGAGAAGGGAAAGAACTTTTGGTCAGGCTGTTAAATGTTTTTTTGCATTTGACTTAATAACATACCCATCTGATTTTAGGGATGAGAGTTCACAACATACCCAAGACATCTAGGGGAGCTTCCAGCTGACCCAGGTTGGCACCTATTTATGGTTCTCTGTATTGAAACAGTGTTTCTAATCGTATTTTTCAGGCCTTCCTCATCCATCATAAAGAACCCTCCTTTTTTTAAACCCCATAGCAGCCCACCTCTGTTGTTGCTATAGACTGTTCTGCTAGCACCACTCATTCGTAAAGTTACCCAACCCTTCCTATTATCAAACCCTAGGAAATTATAAGTACACAGAGGGGGAAAATCTTTACCTGGTTAGGCTAAACATTCTTTATTATATTTGGGTGCCGCACTTCAAGAGGGATGTGGACGACCTCGAGAGGGTTCAGAGGAAGGCCACCCATGCGGTTAGGGGCCTGCAGGGAGCTCAGAAGGACTCTCTAGTTCAAGAAGAGACAGAAAGGGATGTTTCTATTGAGCTCATCTGCACTGAAAAGTTGAACTGGATTAAAAAGAACTGATTTTAAATTGATCTAATTAAATAGATGAAAACAGCAGCTTACAGAATTAAGCTAAATTGATACAGGCAAGGCTGAAATAATTAAATTGTGCCTGCATTAGGGGTTTATACTAGTTTAATTGTAGTTAATATTTTTTAAATGTATTTAAACTGGTGCAGTTATCTGGTGTAGACAAGGCTGTAATGACTTGCTCTCAGCATAGAGGAACTACCAACGAATAGGAGGAGAGCAGAGGCTACTGCTGCAAAAGAGTTCAGGATCCAGGCAAAAAATATTCTGTATGCCTGGAACATAAATAAGACCTAAACTGCACTTAAGCAAGCACTGGGTAAGTAACTTAAGGACACACAGAACTTCATGTTTGGGATGGCAAGGGGGGAAGAGCTGTCTTGCTTGGTGTTTAACTGCTGCTAGCAGTAAAGAGTACACAGTGCATGTTCAGGAAGGAAGCCTGAGGATTTTCCAACATGATTATAACAGCTTAACGGCAACTCACATTTAGGGTCTCAAACAGTTGAGCACTGTTCTATCAAATACTAGTTGAGAGAGAATGAGGTCTCTACCTGGCCTGAATTCCCCGTACACAGTGCACAGCTCCAGGATGGTAAGTGCATTCGCTTCCCTTTTCAATGTCACACCCGTAGTCCGTCTGAAAGAGAAAAATGTTTGTACTTCTGAAGCATCTTGTTTTATGTGTTTTCTGTTTTCTTTCTTTTTTGGCTTTGTTTTATTTTGTTTAATGGCATACAGATACGCTGGATGCTGGTCATAACTCCGTAGTTCAAATTAACTACCAAAGGCCTTTTATAAATTTTTTTTGACACCATCTGATGAAGTGAACTTGGGTTCACAAAAGCTTGTGCTTTCACTCTTTCTATATATATATCTTAGTTGGTCTGTGGAGGTGCATATCTACCCTGCCTTCTTATTTGACTCCTGTGCTAGTTTTTCACTGGAACAAAGATTAACATGGGTTTTGGTCAGATATTTTGTGAGATAAATTTAGGCTACAAGAAGAGATTCCTACTAGAGTTTCAACTATGTAAAATAAACAGTTTTTAGAGCATCAAACAATATCCCATAATTTTCAACCACGTTTTCCATATAAGTAGAACACTCTACAAAGCCACAGGCTTAAAAGTCCATTTTGCTTCTTTAAGATTTACAGAAGAGACATAAGTTGTTTTTTCTTAAAAAACAAAAACGGTATGTGTATTGAGAGCTTTGGCTTGTGTCTTACATTAGAAATTTAAATTTTGTCTGCTATGGAAAACTGAAAGAAATAGAAGCATAGTTTAAATTCAGAAGTTGTGTAAAAGCAGTTGAGAAGGGAAAGAACTTTTGGTCAGGCTGTTAAATGTTTTTTTGCATTTGACTTAATAACATACCCATCTGATTTTAGGGATGAGAGTTCACAACATACCCAAGACATCTAGGGGAGCTTCCAGCTGACCCAGGTTGGCACCTATTTATGGTTCTCTGTATTGAAACAGTGTTTCTAATCGTATTTTTCAGGCCTTCCTCATCCATCATAAAGAACCCTCCTTTTTTTAAACCCCATAGCAGCCCACCTCTGTTGTTGCTATAGACTGTTCTGCTAGCACCACTCATTCGTAAAGTTACCCAACCCTTCCTATTATCAAACCCTAGGAAATTATAAGTACACAGAGGGGGAAAATCTTTACCTGGTTAGGCTAAACATTCTTTATTATATTTGGGTGCCGCACTTCAAGAGGGATGTGGACGACCTCGAGAGGGTTCAGAGGAAGGCCACCCATGCGGTTAGGGGCCTGCAGGCAGAACCCTACGAGGAGAGACTGAGACACCTGGATCTCTTCAGCCTCCTCAAGAGAAGGCTGAGAGGTGATCTTGTGCCTGCCTACAAATTCATCGGGGTGTGTAGCAAGGAGTAGGCGATGTTCTGTTTACCAGGGCACCCCTTGGAGTAACTAGAAACAATGGCCACAAACTGACAGAGAGCAGATTTAGGCTGGACATCAGGACAAACTTCTTTATAGTAAGGGTTGCCAAAATCTGGAATGGGCTTCCTAGGGAGGTGGTGCTCTATCCTACCTTGGGGGCCTTTAAGAGGAGGCTAAACAGGCACCTGGGTGAGGTTGTGTGACCCCAGTGCTCGTTTCTGCCCATGGCAAGGGGTCGGACTTGACGATCTGCTAAGGTCCCTTCCAACCCAAACATCTATGAATCTGTGTCTGCCTCAATTCAGCTGTTTCTAAGAACAAGGATACAGAAAAATACTTTGCTCAGGTTAAACTTGTCTTTGAACAGCTCAGTCTACCCCCATCCTTTGCAGCCAAATCAGTACATGTGACAAAATAGCTGTTGTCAATTAGCCTATTTCAGTCTCCATGAAAGTGCACCTGAAGATGGCCAAAGTTAGCAAGGGTTTCCAATAAATGTATCAAGTTGAGGGGGGGGGGTATATTGAAAAAATGGCAAATGTAGTCCTTATATTTGGAGGGGGCGGGATCATGTGATTATGGACCCAGTGAAGTAACCTCAATAATTCACAAGGTTTTAGATCTGATTTTGAAAGAAAAAAAAATAAAGATCCTGGAAGTGAATGGAAAATGGGATATAATGCAACATGGATTTACCAAAGGTAAGTCACACCATACTAATTTAACTAAATGCTATTTCCTTGATTTTAGACAAGCCAAATGGGATAGCTATGTTCTATATGGACTGTCGTTACCAGACTGGGCTAAAAAATTTGTTGTGAGTAAGGAACTAGCTAAAGGAGGTGGGGGGAGAGACAGCAAGCTCTGCTGTAAAGAGAAATAGGGCTATTGGGATAGATGGAGTTTACTAATGAATTCCTTGCAGTTCTATCTTGTGGCCCACCTTTTTGAGTATTTTCATTAACATCTTTGGCATAGAAAGCAGGAAAACTCCTTATTAACTGTCACTTTTTACTCACGTGGCCTGAATTAGCCTCTTCTTTGACCTCTTGCCATGACTTGTATGTCATTTCAAATGCAGCTTACTTTTATTTCATTTTAATTATAAATACTGTTTGGTCTGTAAAAGCTCCTACATGTCCTGGTAGAAACACTTAGATGCGTTGCCCTGCTGCTGACTTACGTGGAACCTGCCGGTGTCAGCCCTTGCCTGTGCCAGCGTGCAGGGGCAATCTGCTACCTCCTCCAGGAAGTTAGGGAGTCTTTCCTCTTCCAGGTCCCACTTTAGACACTTGTCTGTCGCCCAGGCAGTTGCATCCTTCCTGAAGTCTTCTCCAAGGTGCCAGGCCAGGGCATGCTCTGAGCTCCAGAGTGCAGGAATGTTGCTGAAGAAGACAGAAAAATACCACAGTAGGGGAGGCGTTATGAAAACCCTGACAGGCCAAAAGTTTGGTTTGATTATAATGACTGCTTCATTAATTTCCTGCCAGTTTTTGCTACCACTTTTCTACCTCAGACTTGTAGCAACATCATGCGGTAAGCAGATAAAGAGTTATAGAGTTTATAGTTCTGGATTAAACTGATTTTAAAGAGCAGTAGTCTAATGCTGAAGTGAGTAAATGCCCTTCCTGGGAGGAGATTGCCTCATGGTTGGTTGTTCTGCTGGTATGGTGTTTTGAAACTGTTCTATGTCTGGACACACGTTCATTGGTCTGTAGTTCTGGCAGACCTTTAGCTTGTTGGCTGTAGCAGGCTCTGGCCTCTGCGTATCATGACAGTAGTCCTCAAATACTTGAAGGGCTGCCATAAAGAAGAGGGAAAGTGTCTATTCTGTCTTACTGAAGAGAGGAGGAGGTGGACCAATGGCTTGAAGTTGTAGCAAAGTAAGTTAGATTGGATATATGGAGAAAACTTCACCATTAGAATAATGAGACAGTGGACTAGACTGGCTAGGGGAGCTGTGGATTCTCCATGACCAAAGGTATTCAAGAAAAGGTTGGATAGACACTGGTTGAGGGGGATCTAGGCATAGCAGGTATGCTTATGTTCTACCATGGAGATTTCCCATGCTTCTGGGCATTGCTGGTTTGCTCACTGCCCAACATCTCTGGCTTCCCAGATGCAGGGTTCTTCTCTAGATTGGCTAATGTGTTTTGCAGAGGGCTCCTGTAGTCAGTGATCTGGGTATTAGGATCTGATTGCCTTTGTCAGTGGCACTGTCTTGTTTAGTCAGCTCACCTCACCATCACCAGCCTTCTTGAGGAGCAGGTGGGGATTCTCTCCTGACATCTTGCTATCCAAATAGAAAGGCAGAATTAAACTGGTATAAATCTCTGTCTTGAGTTTGTTCTCAAGGCTGGCACAGACCTGAGCTGATTGATGCCTCCTATTTCCTTTTTGGGACTTCTGTATTTGTAGCAGATAAATCTCATTCTTGCCCAGTTGACATATCCAGAACAACATCATAGCATGAAAATAAGATGTTGGCAATATACATTGGCTCTTT